ATGTAAGTCCATTTTTCTGTGTTGAGTTATTTAAGGGTTTACATTTCAATCAATTCAAATCTACTGAATTTATGCAAAATCTACCAAAAATTTTTGATTACATCTACTGATTTTAGATGTCACATGTCTGGCAATACTAATGTGGACAGAAACTGAGGTGAATAAAGTAAGGCTCATGTTTCTTTTTATAGCAAGAGTGTAAAGAAAATGATGTCACGAGCAGTTATCGCTACACGCTACTGCATTATAGTTTAGAAACACTTTCAACTTGAGCTAATCTATCCTTTAATTCCAGTTACAACTGAAAGTAGTGCTTTAGTTAAAGAACTACAATATTTAAATAAAGAGATATAAAGAATTGAGCATTTCTTTTTGAAAATATGAACAAAGAGATAGGAGGTAGATAATTATATTTAAAACATAGTATTTTCTTATTCTTTAGATAACTTTCAGTCATTTTATAAAATTTAATCCTCCATAATCTTTTCATAATATTTTTATCAACAGTCACTTTTAATTTTTTAGTTTTGCAGCATATAATATTATACACATGAAGTATCCATTTTGCTTTACACGTGTAGCAGATGTAAAAGCTGCTTTATCTTTGCTGCAGCGACTCCTTGTAGCAAATGTTTAGAAAGAGTTCACTACATTATAGCACTTTGATTAGCATATACTTTTGATCGAGCAGTGCTGCATGAAGAAACGCAATTGAAATGTCAATTTATTACATATGTTATTTTTAAAAATGAATGTATAAGTACATATACATTAATTAATAAATATGCTAAAATTATTTTAATTAAAAATCCATCTAGTAATATTTAAAAAAGCAGTGAAATTTTTAATGTTTATTTTTTAATTTTTTCCCAAGCTATAATTATGGGGGGACCATTAAGCTCAAAAGGGAAAAAGGTTAAAAAACACTGATTTAAAATTATTATACATTGTGTTTTAGGGATTTTATAGTAATGTAAAAGTTGAAAATTATCCTTTACCCAAGCAACCAGAGAAAGAGTTAATAGAATTAGAACAAATTAAATGGTCAAGAGAAATGGAAAATCTCATTTATGAAGTAAGATCTTTTATATATTAATCTATTTTACAATTACTACTAAAAAATTAATTATACTATTAGGTGAGAATAAATGAAAAAATTCAAGAAAGCATGAAGGTAAATATAAGTTTTGTTTTATTTTATAATAATAAAATTTTGATTTAAAACAATTTTAATTTTTATAAAATTTAAAATGTTTTTCCACAGAAAAAAACTAAAATCGATAACGACGGTTTATATTCTACTTACTCAGAAATTCCTGCCGACGAAAAGTGGTCAGGTTCTCAAAGATTAGAATGTGAGATTGATTATCCTTTGCTTTATAATCAATTTCAGTTATTAACAATGAAGCAGAAAATAGATCAGATAGTTCTATTGAAGGTGAACATTTTTTATGTGAAATGTAGTAACTTAATAGTTTTATTTTCAACTTTCCATGTCTGAGGATAGCACTTTAATTGGGTCAAAAATATCAATGTTCTTTTAACTTTACCCACTGTTAAAAGTGCATTAATTAATTAATTCATATAGAAACTGTGTAGATTGAAATTATTCTTGAATTTTTTTAAAAATTTCATATTTAGTACATTATATTTATTTAATTTCAATTTATTGCTTTTTTTCTTATTCAAATATCAATTATTAATTGGAATAAAGCTATGTATGTTTATTATGTTGAATAAAGTCCAAGAATTTAGATTAATTATGAAATACAGACTTATTCAGAGATGGAAATTTATTTATTTCATTTTATTTAAAACAAAAATTAATAATGAATATTTCAGCCAACAGGAGGTCTAATAATAGACCTTTTGTTATTCCGTTTTTTGGTTTTTATTTTTAATTAAACAAATATAATTTCTCAATATATTTTGTTTTGTGACATTTAAGTGAAAGGTGTATGCTAGAAAATTATGCTAGTGAAATAAAGAAATGAAATAAAACAATTTGAAGTATTAAATTAGATTAAATAAAAAATTCTCACTTCTGAATAAGTGTCTGTGTGAGGTCTCCAGCATAATAAAACAATCTGCAATTTTTAAATACATTATTGTCAATTGTTTTTCATTATATTGAAACTGTTGTTTAATTTTTAAAATAAATTTAAATTCTAATCAATATATTTTAATGTTATATTGTTATATTAATATAATATAGTTGAATCCACTTAACAGAGCATTGGATAAGGGAGCAGTTTGTTTAAGAGAGAGCATTCTCTCGTGTTCCTCGTTTTCTTTTCTGTTTTACATTATAGGGACTTTCATTAACAGGGCAGTATATAGAAGAACAGTCTGTTTAAATGAGCACCATGTTAGCAGCACTTTTAGAGCAACAGTTTAGAGAAGGAAGTGTTTTTCTAAGGAAGATTTATAAGTATTTATCTTTTAATCTTACAGTATGTCATGGTCCAGAGCACATCATGACAGAACTCTTGACACTATGGTATATGTTATGTGGAGATTTAGTGAAACCTTCTATTAATCAGTTTTTTAATATATGGACAGGCAAAAGATTTTTTACAGAATCATGATGAACAGGTTTTATTGGACACATACAAGAAGCAATTGTATATTTAAATGATATCATAAAATATATATGAACAGACAGCATAGATGACATATACATTCTCATCTCAAGAAGTTGTGAAGTTCGTGAGCAACATGTGTATAGACTACCGAATAGACTAGCACAAAGAATACTTAGTAAAGTCTTTTACTAAGTATTCTAGTTATTCCTAGTTCACGAGTGGCAAATAAAATCACAAATATTTTATTTGCCGCTCATGAACTAGGTTCTTATTGGATCCCACTCTACTGAATTTGTACTATATACAGTAAATTGGTTGTCTAGTACCACAAATAAATTCGCGACAATAGTACACGTGTAGGAACTTAAATCTAACTCTTACTCACTAACTTATACCTAAAAGCATAGTAGATTCTATGAGACAGTAGACAGAAAAGGGGAAAGATCACAATACCCAGGATTTCAGGATTATCTCATGGTCACTTCTACTCTATCTTTTTAAAGTAGGGACCTCGATCCAACACTGACCTTAGAGACTCTATTCGTCTCTAGTAACCAAAATGTTCTTCCCTCAGAATTATTCAGCCACAAGTCACCTCCAATCTAGAGCACTCCTCTCTCTTAATTCTGACTCCCACGAAGGTCCAGTCCAGACTAACTCGTTCTTTATTCTCATTGGTCTCGGGCCTTGGCTCCCCTTTGTTTTAAGTTCTTGGAACTGGTACTCGTTGAATTTAGTTCTGGGGATTAGTGGCTCATCGTCTTCAGTTCTTGGAATCGGTGGATTCAGAGAGAAGAAAGGAAATGAAAAGAAAGTTTTAGACAGACTGAGAACAAAGGGAATAAGGAACTATTAAAAACTAACTTACAAACTAATGATAAAATATGTAACAATATTGCCGATGGCCACAAAGTGATTAGTGACCAAGTCACAGGACCTTACATGGCAATATTATAATTATTTGTTTTTATACTGTATGTCCTGTTAGAAAGGATTCAAAAAATTTTAGAGTGAGGATGTTCACATCTTTTCAGCTAAGCTTCCTAATGTATTTCCGGGAAGAAGTGAAATAATGTGACTGGTAATTACTGATGATTTAGTTTAACAATAAAATTGATAATAAAAGAATGGATAACAATATTTAAGTACAGTAAAATTATGGTAATGAATTTTAATGTTTTCAAGTGTGTTTTATGTAGAGCTCTTTAGACATGAAAAAGTGGAGAGAATTGATTATTATTAACATTGTAAGAAGAACAAAAGACAAAAACAGACAATATGGCATACAGCCACAGGGCACTTAACACAATGATCTCGAGTGCTGTCCTAAATGGACTCAACTGTATTAAGATGAAATATATCATAATTGAAATTTAATTTAACCATAATTGGAAACTATAATTTAAACTTATAAATTAAATCAAAATGTAACATCTGAAATAAGATTCATGTTCATTATGAAAATGACATGTAATTTTTATCAGCATTAGTACTTATGCTTTATCATTACAGAAAATTCTGTATACAGGACNATTTGTTTTTATACTGTATGTCCTGTTAGAAAGGATTCAAAAATTTTAGAGTGAGGATGTTCACATCTTTTCAGCTAAGCTTCGTAATGTATTTCTGGGAAGAAGTGAAATAGTGTGACTGGTAATTACTGATGATTTAGTTTAACAATAAAATTGATAATAAAAGAATGGATAACAATATTTAAGTACAGTAAAATTATGGTAATGAATTTTAATATTTTCAAGTGTGTTTTATGTAGAGCTCTTTAGACATGAAAAAGTGGAGAGAATTGATTATTATTAACATTGTAAGAAGAACAAAAGACAAAAACAGACAATATGGCATACAGCCACAGGGCACTTAACACAATGATCTCGAGTGCTGTCCTAATTGGACTCAACTGTATTAAGATGAAATATATCATAATTGAAATTTAATTTAACTGTAATTGGAAACTATAATTTAAACTTATAAATTAAATCAAAATGTAACATCTGAAATAAGATTCATGTTCATTATGAAAATGACATGTAATTTTTATCAGCATTAGTACTTATGCTTTATCATTACAGAAAATTCTGTATACAGGAAATAAGTCATGCCACCTGTGAGAAAATGCAGTAGTACAGAACACAACTTGTGGCATTCTTGGAGGATGTCTTTTTCAAAAGGATAATTTTGCAGAAGTTGTGGCCTTCCAAATAGTTCAATTTCAGTCTGTCTGATTTATTTTATGGGAACACCTGAAGTCCACTGCCTATTTTTTGCATCTACACAAATATTGGTGGATTTGCAGACAAACATTCAGAACTCTGTGGCAAACATTTCTTTGGATGTGCTCCAACTGGCGTTTTGCAACATAATTTGATGGCATGCACTTATACGAATCTGTGAATGGCTTACATTTTCAAACATTTGTTGTGATGTATTGTGATTTCCCATAGGCTGCATGACTTATTGAACATCCTATATGTTCTTTATATGATATAGAAAGTTATCTATTCACTTTATAGATGACATATAGTAATTTTCTCTAGATAAAGTAAATAGTGTTTTTCAAACAACTTTATAATGCTTATCTAAATATTTAAATTTTTTAGCAAACAATATTTTCACAAGGTTAATCCATATTTAAAAGACAATATAAAAAGAGTTGTAGATTATGTAATGGGAGTGAGTTACATGCCAATTTTAAATCACAAATTATGAACTTGTACCTATGGAAGGTGGGGTATGCAGTGGGTGAGGGTTTTACTTTTGTTCTGGCAATTTTCTTCAGGGTATACACCACTGAGTTATATGCATGAAAATATAGTAGTTTACTTTTATTTTGTTTTATTCAGCCTAAAACATTGTCATATATTCTGTGTGTCAAGAAAGATTTGTAACTGTACTGTACATGAAATAAGATTCATGTTCATTACAAAAATGACATGAAATTTTCATCAGCATTACTATCATGCTAGTAATTTCACACATCATATATGATTGTTAAAGCATAAAGACATTACTGATGAGATTTTATTATATTATCTTAATTAAAACTGAATCATTGTAAAGCATTCTTATTTCAGATAACATAATAAATAAAATCTTTAATGATACAGTAGCCTACTTTTAGCATCTGTAGATATATGTCAAAAAAATGTTAGCTAAAATTTAAATTTTATTTTTAAGGATGTTATACATATAATTAAATGCAAGTTTAATAAGAAATTTAATGAGATGTACGAAGAAAAGAAAGATAAAATGACAAAAACAAAAGAAATGAACCAGCGAATTGAAGAAATTAATAAAGAATTGGAAATAGATGACAAAGTATGGACTCCAGAATGGAAATCTGATGAAAATCCACAGTTTCTCTTTGAAGTGGAACCTGAGGAGGTACAATTAGTTTCACACTGATCATAATCTTAACTTTGAAATAGTTTTAAATTGCATAAATGTAAAATCATACAGCTATCATCTAAAAGAATGCAGTCTGTTGTAGAGCATAATGAAAAGAAACAATCTGAAGATATTATGGATGAAACATTCCAAGTTAGTGTTTGAAATATTTTTTTAATAATGTTTTTAGGATGAATAATCAAAATTTTTTTTATTATTCCAATGATTTCAGGAAAAAATTTGGAGAGAAAAAATTCTTTATAAATCATTATATGGATTAGTGGAAACAAAAATTGACCAGCAACTAAAAAGGGTTTGTTTTTTTTAAAATAACATTAATGAAAATAAATGAAATAAAATTTAATATACAATTTCAGACTCCGGAGCCATCGGAATTTATTTCGAACAAGAAAGTCGAAAATTTTACACAAGAAGAATTAGAAGTGAAAGAATTTCAAAACACATTTGACAGATTACAGAGTTTGGAAATGTATAAGCATCATCTGGAATCAGAAAAACAAAGATTAAAAGATAGCATACAAAAGATCACGACTAGTTTTGACGAAGAATTAAACGAATTAAAAAAGCAAAAATTATTTACGGTTAATGTAATTTATCAAGAAGAATTTCTTATTTGTAATTTATTGTTAAGTATTGTTACTGAAAATGAACTTATGAAATGGGATTGTTATATCAAACATAAAATTGAAGAAAATCAAAGAGAACAGGTGTGTTTCTAAAAATTTTAGTGTATCTATGTTTTTTTAAAAAAAACAACTAATTTTTCTGGTATACAACATTTAAAATCAAATCTTTGAAATAATTTTTGAATGTATCTATTTAAAAATGTCGTCATCAGATTTTTCTTGAATGAAATGAAAAATATAAAAATTAGAACTATTAAGAAAAATTTGAGCTTCAGAACTGAAAACTGTTAAATAAGATTACAGAAGAACTGGAACTTATATTTGCACTTGGTTCTAGTCTCTTCTATCTGCAACAATCTTTACATTAATGTAAATGAGAATATTTTAAAACATTACAAAATATTTGCACTTTTTACTACAAAATTTTGATACAGTGTAATGAATTTGCTTTGTGAATTCTTAATGAAAATTATTTTTCTATTTAATATTTCAGCAAAATACAAAATTTTTAATACGAAAAGCTGAAAATTTGGAAAAGATTATAAGTGAGAAACTTCAAATGTGTCAGCATCAAGATAAAACTGTTGAATCTTGTGCTAAAAAAGAGTTAAAGACTCTGTATCATGGAGAACTTTACACCTACTATAAGAAAAAACCAAAGTAAGTAGACAAAAATTTTAATTAAAATAATTTATTGTTTATTCTTTCAGAAAACCAAATCTCTATAATCAATGATAAAAAATTTTGTGAGAAAGATTAACAGTGTAAGATATGTTGCAATATTTAGTCTACAACATATAATGCACAACTATATACAGGGAAAGGGTGATATGGTTGAGGCAAATCTTGCTGTTGACTAGCTGGCCAAATGAATAGTGGATTAATTGATGACCTAGAAAAATAACTGACTGAATATTCAATGAGGAAAAATCAGGTGCTTTTATATCCTCTGATTGCTTGTTGGTATTGGCAAGTTTTGCATTTATAAGCATTGCTCGTGTTTTTGCCCGTGAGAATGTTTCACTTGCATAAGAAGTGACGGCTTCTATTACAGATACATTAAGAGGACATGTTCAGTGCTTTATATATTATATTTATCTAATTTGGTATCATTATTCAATCCAGAATGAATATAATCTACTCAGACAGTGTAGAATGTACTACCTCTATTCTTATCGAGACAATTTTAATAATAAAAAATTCTTATTAAGTGAATATGAACTGTATATATATCCTTGTCTAACTAAGAATAACAGGTTTTGGGTCTAGTTTTGTGTGAAAGAAAAGAAAGGTCTCTGAAAACAATGAAAATGGTTCATTCATCTTTGACAAAGTTTACTGTGGAAAGTTAACCAACAAAAATTATCAGGTGTGGAAATTCAAAATGAAAATGTTACTTATCTGAGAAGGAACATGATTATGTATAATGAAAGTTGTAAGAAGCTGAGCCGGTGGAGATTGGGGACTCAAAATCCCACTTCTTGGACACCAGTGTAAGATTCCGACTTTTAGAGCAATCAGTTAATTGTGCGTCAGAGATGGTCTAGGGTCCTTATGTATATGGGTGGTGCAGAGGAGACAAAGATGACAAGTGTCTAACAAAAACTGTTTATTTTAACATAAAAGTAACTTACACTATACAAAGATAGTTTGTTCTAAAACAATTGGTGGTTTGGATGTCCTGGGCATCAACGTTGTTTCTCGATTGCTGATTGAAGGTGGCCCTGGGGCAGTGGCATTGACAAGTTCGTAAGGCAGGTGGGGAGACTCCGTTGGTTGTTATTGGTGACACAGTCTGAGTCTGTAGTGGCATGGGTTACAAGTTGGCACAATAGATGGAAAACTGCGTTTTTTGGCGTGTTGGTTGATTGGAATGTTAAATAACTAAGTGCAACATGCCCTTGATTGTCGGGGATTATATCAGTCTCCATTCTTTTGTCCTTTCTGGTTGGTCAATCTCCCTCAATCACACTTCCCAAGTGGCTGGTCCCTCATTACAAAGCATAATGGGACTTGTTACCTGGAATGCACAAAAGGTCAAAATTGAAGCTGAATTCGCTCACTGATCATAGGACCACATTCCTTCGATTTATTGTTTCTGCATTGCAGTTTGATAAAACAAAAGGTGTTGGACTACAGCCATTTTTTTCTTGCATTTTTAAACAATTAAACTTTTTCTCTAAAGTAACTGTTTCTTGCAAATTCCGTGACAGTTCGAACCTGTCCGGACCTCACAAAGTGAAACCAAAACTTGAAACAGCTGAGTGGAAAATAAATGATGAGAAAGTGCCCTTTCTGTCCTATAAAGGCATGTCTAAGGATTCTTCTAGATCCAGGTCCCTCTGATGCCATTGTGGCAGGCTGCCATATTATATGCTTTTGTCCTTTTGTTCTTCTTACATTTTTTCCTGCTGTTTCCACCTTCTAGAACTTTCTTAATTCTTCTTTCTTGGAAGTGAGGGCCACTTCCTAGAATTCATCAGCATCAAAGCAAAGAAAAGCTAATGCTGAAAGGAGGAGGACGATGAAAGGAGAAACTTACAGTGCCAGGCCTGAGTAAATGAGTGAAGTAAATGGAAGAATTTCAAATAGGAAACAGTAGGTCCGAAGTTATTGTTAGTGTTGGCATCTCAGCTCGATGAGTCCAAACGTGTGACCAGCTAATGGAACCAAACATATGTGAAAACCCCTCAAGGGGAACTGAAGACAAGTAAAGACAGAAGTGAGAATTTTGTTAAAAATCTCCCATGTAGCCCTAACAAACTGAACATTTGCACTACCCAGGTATTCTTTCCTATCCTATCTGCCATTTTATCTACCTCTCGTCCCTATAGTCATTTTTTTTATTAGATTTAGTTTAGTGTTAAAGGTTAGTTTTAGAAAAATTATTTTTGTGTATTGTATCAGATCAGTGTTATTGTAGTACTTTGTGTTGTGGTCCTTTATATATATTTTTTATTGTTCTACTGACAGTTGGGTCTATGGTCAGCTGGAGAAATCATCCTAGAGCCAAAATCTTTTATTGAATTTGTACATAGTTATAAAATTAATTTATTTATGCATGATATATCATCTACTACATGTTTAGTTTGTCGGGTGTTTGTCTTAGTAGGATAATGAAAACCCTTTCATATCTCACTGTAAAGTACAAAGTTATTTTTTGTTTGTTTTACGCCTTTTACAACGATTATCGACACGAATGTGTGCCGGAAATAGCTGTTACCTAATGGGTACTTTACATAGATTCGCATTAATGTGCCAGGCCTGGACTTTATACTATGAGGTGACGTCACAATTCTGATTGAGATCACTCCTCTCATTTACATACTTATCGCTAACAGTAAACTTTCCTTTCTGCCTGGCAGCCTATTTCCTGACAATACTCGCTAACCTTTTACATTATTCTTTTTGACAGTTTTTTCGGGGTGTTTTTATTCTTTAAGGTTTAGTGAATTTAAGTTGTGTGTGTGAGGTCTCCCCCCTCTTTCTCAGTGCAGACTTATTTTTTTCCGCTCGGTAGCGCAAGTGTGTGTGAGTTTTTCTACAGCGCTTTTTTTTCATCGGTGAGTTGGCTCTTTTTCTTCTATTTTTAAGTTTCTAAGGTGAGTGGTGAGGAAACATTCGTCCAAACAAAACATAAGCCTAAGCCCCAAACAAAAATAAAATAAAAAGCAAACTAAAAAATAACTAAAAATAACGCTCGGACTTGGTTCCTTACACCACATTAGGAATTGTGGAATCTGCGAATATCTGAGGTATGATATCCGCAGAGGTGAATGAGAAATGATTGCCACAAAAAGGAGGAGACCAGTACGATATATTATCTAACAAACTTTATGCACCAAACATATATATACAATTGAATCACAATACGATAGGTAGGCTTAAGCCTGGCACGTGGCAGCTTACACAAAGAGTCCACCGAAGACCAATCAAAGGACACACCTTCACACATGAACGCCAGGAATCTGAATGCCCGGTTTCCGGTTCCCCACTATATATAACTCCTCCACCACTCTCATCGTGCTGCCACACAAAAACCGTTCAAAACACAAATAAAACCGCGCGTACAGCAATCGCGACAATCGTTTACATTAATTACATTGACAAAATATGTATATATACACAAAGATAGTTATAGGTAAAAGAAAACAATTTTTTTTTTTTTTTATAGCAGAGACCGACAATATACACGCGGATGACACATATGCCCCCCCCAAAAGAAAAAAAAAATTATTATTATTATCATTATTTTAATAACCACGGTTCAGGGTGACGTAATCAACAACCCTCCGTTGTCTTAAGTGATAGGGGATATCTCGTTGAGTAGCCACGTCATCTTGGCTTCTATCAGGCCGTGTGTCGGCTGGGAGGCTCGGAGTTTGGGGTGGGTGAGAAATTGGTCTATGTAACCCCCTATAAGGTTGAGATTGCCGATGATCAACTTCCTCTTCCTCGTTTTCCCTTACGCCTTCGACCTTAGTTCCTCGATTATCCTTCTTAGCTCCTTTGATTTTATTGTTCCACCCATAAAAGGGTTTAAGGCGGTCAATGTGTATAGTTTGGCTATCCTTCAACTTCCGGCCTCTTACCCTGACCACTACATCATTGAGGACTTCCTCTACCCGGAAAGGACCGGTATGCCATGCCGAGAATTTTTTATGTGTAACTTTTGATGGTTTCTTAATTAATACCAAATCCCCAACTCTGAATTTCCTCAGCCTTCGGTTTTTATTCCAGTACACTCTTTTCTTTGCTAATTGCTCTTTGTTGAATACCTCCGCTGCCTCACGACACACATGGAGCTTACGTATTAGTTTTTCACGGTAGTCCAGAGCACTTTTAGCATCTTGATCCATGTCCGTGGTACGGGGCTCACCAGGGATGACGGGATCAAACCCGTACAGCAGGAAAGAAGGCGTCTCACCAGTCGAACTGTGAATAGTGGTACGGTAAGCTAACAACGCTGATGGAATATATTTATCCCAATCAGCATTGTCGCCATTCGAAATCCTGGAGATCATTTCAATTATAGTCTTATTTGCCCTCTCACAAGTCCCATTGGAAGTAGGTCGATATGCGTTAGTTAATCTCCGGTCGATGTTCAGTATGTTGTATGCATCATTCATAATTTTCGAGGTCAAGTTCGTCCCCCGGTCGGAAATGAGAGTTTGCCTGCCGCCGTAACGGCACACAATATTCTCGAAGAGGGAGTCCGCTATAGTTTTCGACGACACCTCCGGGACGGGGATGGCCTCGATGAATCTTGTGAACATATCAACGAAAACGATAATGTACCGGTTTCCCCTTCGTGATTCGGGCACGGGACCTATCACGTCCACTGCGATCACTTGCATCGGTTCGTTCGGGTGAGTTACTTCTTGGATCGGCACCTTATGAGTGGTGCGATTGAATTTTTGACAAATTTCGCACCTGTTTATGAAATGTTTGATCTTCCTCTTCATATTAGGGAAGAAATACTTGCCCCTCATTTTCTTCAGGGTCTTTTCTGCACCCCCGCCCATCTCATGGTAATGTTCAATTAGAGGTATCTGCATAGTGTCGCTGACACAAAGGCACTTAACAGGCTCACCTCTATAGTTTAGCCCATTTTTGATCAAGAGATTATTACTCATCTCAAAGTCCTGGAGGTTAGTGGGGGTGTTGCCAACTTCCCCTTTTAACAGAGTGTCGCGGATCTCAATTATCCGACTATCTAATTGCTGAGATGCAATCACTCGATCATTTACACTCCTGTTGTTGTTATCCTCAGGAGGGGATACGGAATTGATATCATGTATCTTTATAGCTTGCTCACTGGGTAAGTGTGATAAGTCGACTTGTCCAATTGGGTCCGGTGAATTGGGGGTTTTGCACAATGACACAAACGTAACTGCCGAACTTCCTTTTGCCACAACAGCACCCCTTTTCATGATGTGCGCTATTTTTGTCAAGATTTCCGGGCAGGCACACAAGAAGTCCATGCCAAGGATGCCGTGATTCCCGACCAAAATCCCAGAGTCGACACCGATGAATTGCGTAGGAACGACCTTACCATCGAACTTCACTTTAAACAAAAAACTCCTGTCGCATCTCATGATGCCCCCAGATACCCCTTTGACCCTTACGTTGACCACATTACATTGGTGGTCTGCACTCCCCAGAGACTCCAAATTTCTTTGGTTAATGAGGGACCTTTCGGCCCCGGTGTCAATTAACAAGCTCACAGTGCGCCCATTAATTTCACCAGAAATAATTGGGAGCTTGTGGTCGTTGATTTTGGGTTCCTCAGCCAGGTCGATGATCAATTCCGAGCCACTGATCCGGCTGCGACAGTGGCTCCGTTCGAGTTTAAATTTAACGGACAATTAGAGCGCAGGTGGTCTTTGCTTTTGCAAATGAAACATTTCCGTTCGGGACTAGCCCTTTTGGTTTGTCCATTAGTGTCGTGCTTGTCTGGATTAACAGACAATCCCATGACTGCCTGCGAAAGCTTAGTAACGGTTTCCTCTAAACTAGTCAGTTTTGCTGATAGCTCGGCCATGTTAGTTGATTCCTTACTTGGATCTTCCATCCCGTTAAACTGAGGCACGACTATGCCACCCACCTGAACTTCACGAAAACCGCACGATTGTTCGATCTTATACAATCTTTCTGCTACCTCGACCGCACTATCAAACGACTGAGGATCGCGTTCTAACAACTTCATCCTCAATTCCAGGGTGAGTCCTTGGACGAACTGGCTACGGAGCATCTCGTCCCTTAGCGTAGCCATATGAGGATTCGAACAAATCATTTTCTCGAACGCGATACATAAACGAACCTTGTACTCACCGACAGTTTCGCTGCGCCTTTGTCGTATACTAATAAAGTCCTTCAATGTATTTCCTTCACTCGTTGTAGGCCGATGGAGACTACATACAAGAGCCGTCTTTATTCGAACATAGTCCTTACCATAAACAGCCCGCAAGTCCATAAGTAACTTGAATGGTTCATTCTTCAGTCTCGATTGTGCCACTACCAAACGTGTTCCATTGTCCCATCCGGCGATGGACGACACTTCTTCCAGTATGTCGAAGAATTGCTCGATTGTAACACTATCCGTCGGTGAACTAGAGAACATTGGAATCATCCCTAGATATCCCGTGACTACTGGGGTTCCATTTACCATATCCTGATGAATTGCTTGGGAAGTGGTGCTTGGTACAGGGATTGAACGATCGTCTGAAGGTTCCATACTCGTCATCTCCATTGTTACACGTGGCAATCCTGTCGCGGACGCCAATATGTGGAATCTGCGAATATCTGAGGTATGATATCCGCAGAGGTGAATGAGAAATGATTGCCACAAAAAGGAGGAGACCAGTACGATATATTATCTAACAAACTTTATGCACCAAACATATATATACAATTGAATCACAATACGATAGGTAGGCTTAAGCCTGGCACGTGGCAGCTTACACAAAGCACAAAGGGTCTACACAAGACAATCGAAGGACACACCTTCACTGTTGCACGCCAGGAACCAGACTGCCTGGTTTCCGGTTCCCCACTATATATAACTCCTCCACCACTCTCACCGTGCTGCCACACAAAAACAGCCCAAAACACAAATAAAACCGCGCGTACAGCAATCGCGACGATCGTTTACGTTAATTACATTAATAAAATATTACATATATACATAAAGATGATTATTGTTAAATAAAAAAAAATATATATATATATATATATATTTTTTTTTTTTTTATTACAGCAGAGACCGACAATATACATGCGGATGACACAGAATGCACGTTAGTGTTATGACTGCAAGAAACATTGCAATTATGGTGTGCTGACTTGGGTGCTAAGAATCATATGACAAATTACAAGCAATTCTTTATCAGTTTGGATAAGAGAGTGTAGTTGCTAGGACAGTGTAGTCTGTAGTTAATTTTGTTTTTATTGTGATAACTTAATGAAAGGTTTTTAAGTTAATTGTGTGTGTATCCTTGTCTGAGAAGCTAACAGTATTAATGAAATTTGCACAGTTAATGAAAGAACATGTCTACAAAATCATATATTTATTATTCAATGATTTTAGTAAAGATATAATAATATATAGAGATCAACTTTTAAAAAGAAGCAAGCAATTATTCATTGTGTTGTCGTCACAATGCCAAGTTGTAATTTTTAATCATATTTTTTAAAATTTATTTAATTTAAAATATATGTTCTCCACCTTAAATTAGTACTGTAGTCTTGTACTTGTGCTTGTAGTGTCTTGACCCTGTACATCACATTTTTCCTGTTAGCAACGGAGTCTGGTGGTCATCTATCTAACTCCTTTCTGGGGAAATTTTTGAAATGAAATAATGTGGCTTCTGATCTGAACTGGAAGTTTGTATAAAGTTAATCAGGGCTTCCTCTCTGTAAGCTTTTCGTGTCTGGTCTTGAATTTTATTTATCTAACACTGTTCTCGAACAGTGTTAGATAAATGAGGAAAGATAGATTAAGGAAAGGACGAGATTAAGGTAAGACAGATGGACGACAGTGGGAATTTATAGGTCTACAATTTTTTCAAATTGCAGCCCAAAAAATATCCATACTTTCTTTTCTAAGAAATTTTCTCTTTCTTAGAATTTGCATTTAAGGCTGCTACACACACTTGAGTAAATTTTCAGATTTGGCTTGCATAATTTCCAGTTTTTTCCCCATGTTCAAAGCAGGCTGAGAAAATTAAATTTGAAGTTTGATAATTTGTTTGTATGATTGTATTTTTCACTTTTTTATGATACTGAATAGTTTTCATATGCTATTTGGTGCTTAATTGAAAAATTAAAAATTATGTCAATAATATAAATTTATTAAATAAATTTGTAACTTACTAAAGGAAAATTTGTTAAATTTTCCTTTTAGGTAAGTTACAATTGCTCCTTCTCTGATTTATTAAATTAATTAAAATATTTGCTGAAACACATCATATTATATTATTTATGTTTACTGTTTTTAAGGTGGAACTAATCTTCTATTCTGCCATATGCATAGTGTCTTTTTTATATGGTTTTTACAAGAATGTATCTACCATGTGGAAACAGAATTGAGTGTACTTCCATTTTTTCATACTTTAATTAATGAAATAATATAGTGTACTTATTATTACATAGAACTAGTAGTTAATCTAGTGAAGTAATCAATCTTTAGAGTTTCTCCAATCTTAATGACTATTAATGTTTTTGACCCAGTTAATACACCATCTTCAAAACCATTCTTTCTCTAACTTTATCCATTTTTAAAGAGGTATTGTCTACTNTAACTTTATCCATTTTTAAAGAGGTATTGGCTACTTCAGTAGTTCACTTATTATTGTATATAAAAATGTTTTATGCAAAACATATCATTTTAATTAATTATTACATTTGAAAAATAATTTACTTTAAATTATAATTTTCAGAAATATTCACAAAAGTAATTTAATTTCAAAATCGGGAAATCCGTATTACGAACCGGATTCCAAACAGTTTTTCTTGAGTATTTCAGAGCATTCTACAGTCTCTAGTGCTTTGGAGGAAACCAGACCAGATTTTATTTCCTTAGAAAATTGGGAGAAAATGTGCCATTTGCGACAGCAGAAATTTAAAGCGGAGTTAGAAGTAAGTTAAATTAAGAAAGTACCATATTTTACAGTGTATAAGACACATCCCATTTTGGCACAGAATATTTAGGGAAGAAAGTATTTAGCATATTAAAGCTATGCCACACTTTTGACACTGGATCCAAAAGTTTTTTTTACTGCATTCTGGTTAAAAGAGTTAAATTAGAAGAGACATTTTTACAATGCAAGGGGGAAAAAGGCATTTAGAAGAACTCATTTACATTAAACAGATTTACAATTAAAATTTGCTATTAAGAAATATTCAACATGAATACATACATAAGTTGTTTAGCTATAGTACTTTGCCGAATTATTTAGACCCATTGACTAAAATCATCCTTTTTGTACTAATTTGTTTTCATAATATTGTTGAAAAAAGGAATCTTTTTAAAAAATTTTATTCTTATTCTCTATTATATCACCAAAATTTGTAATACATTTTACTTTTCTGGCTATTATATATAACAGACGGAAAGTATGAGCAATTGGTCAAAAAATTATCCCCAGATTTTTACATTTTTGGACTCTGGGACAGTCAAATGTCGAGAAATGCAAAAAAATTTGGGGGTTTTGTGTGTGTGTATGGAGTATGATTTTGTTCATCCTCTTTAGAGTTTAATAACTCCTGTGCTTTTTGTTGAATATTTCTGACATTTTGTAGGAAGGTTTGTTTATTAGGGGGATCGATGCTTTTAAATTTTGGTGATTGAAAGTTGAGGGAGTGGGGAAATAAAAGAGGGTTGTCTGTCATGTTTCCAATAGGGTTGAACTCTTAAATGACGTTTTTTCTCATTAGTATTTACAAATTTTTTAATAAAACCCATCCCTAGCCACAAAATTAAGCTTTTTGCCATTTTATAATAGTTAAAACTGTAAAAAGTTTTTTAATAAAATATGATAACGATGGCACCACCAAATGTTATCAGGAAAGTTAAGCAACTCGTTGCAGGATTTTTTATATAGCAATACTGTAAATGTGAAAAAATAAGCTTTCTACTACAAAAAGGGAACCGATAGAGGTTCTTATTAAGATATGGCATCATAGCCAATTGACGAAAACAAAAATGGAAAAATGTATAAAGAGTACACCTTGTCATATAGAAGGTAGTACAAAATACTAATTTTTTGTTTTTAAGTTAATTTTATTATATTAAACTTTTTATATGCAAAACTTACTTTTTATTTTATAAGATGTGATAAACAAATATTTAAACAATCCTATCAACAATTACATTTTTATTGAGTTATTACATCAGAAACTAACAAATCATCATTTTTTTTTGTATGGGTCTAATAATTTGGCAAGGTACTGTATAGCTAATAATAATAATATGTTTAATTAAACAACAATAATTTTATTCAAGCGTTAGGGTAGGTTGTCTTTAACTGTAACTTAGTGAAGGTCATTGGGGAATTTATTAGCCTACAGGAAATCTCAATTCCACATATAAGATGCAGGCCGGATGGATCCATAGGGGCTTCAGTGGCTTAAACCCCCAATTCACACAAGAAATTAAAAATTCATTTCTTGAAACTTCAATTTTTAAAAACATTTACGATAGCAAATACGGTTTATTGGACCATCCGCAATACAATTGTCCTGCCCATTGTTAATAAAAGATAATTATAATTATTCAAATATATTTAATTTTTGAATTGATCTCATTTTGGTTCTTCTGGATCTGCCATTAGACAGTTTTTTTTTTTTTTGATAAAAGTTGCATTTTATGTCATAAAATATGGTAAGCTAACACAAACTTAACAAATGCTTGCTTACATTAAAAGAAATTTTACTTTCAGGTGCAAGAACAAATGCACGCATATACAGATATAATACAATACACAAAGAAACAACAGCAGAAATTAACAAAATTTCAAGAAAAGTCACATAAAATGTACACTGAGAGAAATAGGTATGTTTATCCCAAAGTATTTTTATATAAAAGATATATATTTTAAAAAATATTTATTCATTTCAGAGTATTAGGATTAATAGATAATATTAGAAACAATGTCCAAATACAATTAATACTACCGTACGGGAATGTGGAAGTAGAAGGAGTGGACGTCTTACCCGATTTATCAAAAGCCAATTTGCTGCACGTAACCGTCATCGATAAGCTGAATAAAGAAATAAAAGTAAATATTTTTCTCTTATCTTTAACATTTGTTGTAATGTAATAACAAGTTTCGTATGTAGAATTTAGGAGAAATCAAAATAAATTCGATAATAAAAAGTGCAGGCATATTAGAAAATGTCGATTTACTGCAAACAAAACGTAACAAATTAGAAACTGAAGTAGACAGACTGGACAAATATCTGAAAAATGTGGATCATTTTACCTTGACGCGTATAATACGCAGATTTTTAATGGGAGAAAAAATCGATTCAATAAATGTCAAGAAGGAAAAAGTCATCCAGTTGACGAATATGAAAGAAAAGGTAAAATTAATTAATTAAATTTTATACTTAGAGAAAAGTCAATTGTCCTTTTTTAATATGCAGCTGCACGAAAAGCAATGCAAACAGTGTCGGGATACTTGCGACAAAATAAATCAAGACATAAAGAAGTTACAAAATCACAACGACCAACTTCAGAAACAGATCGATATTCTGTATAGAGAAGTGACAGAGATGGAACTAATATATGAAAATAACAGCGAATATTAACTTGGTTATATGATATAATTTGCAATAAACTTTGCAGAAAACTTTTCTCATTAATCAATAATACTTGTAAGAGTATTCTCGATTTATGAGAAAATAAAAAGAGAATATATCGCAAAAATAATAATTCTATTCTATTGCTTGTATTATTTATATAAAAAATGATATTGTTTGAAAGCAAAGATATATATATAAAAAAATATTTGTTTCAAAATGTTTGATTTTTACATAATTAATAATTATTTAAAGCCTATATTTAATTATTAGTTTACAAAGAAAAAACAAACAATTGTAAGTAGTTAGACTGTAAAGCTTGTTAATAAAATTCCTAATTTTGTTCTTTTTGTAATAATACTAAATATTTAAATTGTTATTAAACAGTAATAATAATACATTAACACATTTTCTGCTTTTTGATCTGTAAGTACAATGCAAAACCGTGTAATTGCAAATGCACCTGCCGCATTTGCAAATTACAAATGTAAAACCTCCACAATATAAAGCAAAACACTTTTATATATATATATATTTATAAGCAATTATTAAAGCTAGAAATAAAAAATCCAGCAACTAGTTGTTTAACTTTCCCCGGCAACATTTGTTGGTGCCATCTGTTATCATATTTTATTTTAAATATTTTATAAAATGGCACAAAGTTGAATTTTCTGGGTAGCGACGGGTTTTAAAAATATTTCTAAATGCTAATGAGCAAAATCGTCATTAATTAAGTCTGACCCTACTGGAGATACACACAGCTTCCTTTATCTCCCCACCCCTTTGACCTTTAACCACCAAAATTGAAGAGTGTCAATCCCCTAATACAAACCTCCCTGCAAAATTTCAGAAATTTTTGACAAAAAGCCCAGGAGTTAAGTTTCAAACAGGGTGAACAAAATTGTGCCCCCATCCATACATACAGTAAAAACCATGAATTTTTTTTTATTGTGCATTTCTCAACATTTAAATGTTTCCTTTATCCAAAAATGTAAAAATCTTGGGGTGGGTCAATGTTTTATTATACAGTGATACCCCAAACTTACACGATAGGTGGGACCGAGCGATAACCGCGTAAGTCGGGGTATAATTTTGCAATTTATGTAAAACCCAAATTGGACGTATGTAAGCTAATAAATGTTCTCGTTAATCTTATCTCATCTTTTGATTCGTTCACGGTTACAAGAAATCACCACATAGTCTCTCAAGTCTCCATAGATATAACAAACACAGAAATAAATTTATTTCTGTGTTTGTATTCTGTGTTAACAAAATAAATTGTAGCCACAATTTATTTTGTTAACAAAATAAATTTATTTTGTTATTTATTTAGCCACAATTTATTTTGTTAACAAAATAAATTGTGGCTATAATACATTATATATGTATAATATATATACTGTGGCATAATATATAATGTGGCAAAATAAACACAATTTATTTTGTTAACACAAAATAAATTGTGTTTATGTGTCGATTCCGTGTGACATGTCCGAACATGTAAGCTGAACAATAGTGTGGGGGGAGTGAGTAATCAAGAGTTGCCTGGCACTCAAACAAAAGATGATTCGACGAGATTTGAAAATCGCGTAACTCTGGGTTCGCATAAGTCGGGGTAGTGTAAGTCGAGGTATTACTGTATATTTTTTTGCATCGCTTTGTTATAAAAATTATAAATTTTGGTGTTTAAAGTAAGAAACAAAAGTGAAGTACTGTTAACTGGAATATCTATATTTATTATCAAGTGTAAATTCAAAATTGTTTTAATACATATTTAAAACTATTATAACCAGAAATTATATATACTTTACAATAGCGTATACTTTAAATTAAAGTGTATTTTATTGTACCTCAAATCAATAGTCTTGCCCCTGTACATCATACTTTTCCCAATAACAGAAGAGTTGTGCCAGTCATCTATCTAACTCCTTTTGGGGAAAAATTTTTGAATTGAAATAATGTGACTTCCAGTGCAGAGCAGAGCAGACCGGAAGTTCATATTTAATTAATTGGGCCTCCTGTCCCTATGCTTTCCATATCTGCTCTTGACTTTCATCTGTCTAACTCCATTCTTCAGATTAAGAAAGGACAGACAGACAGATCAGCTACCTGTCTGTCCTTTCCTTCTGATATTTATAGGTATAGAATTTTTTCAAATTGCAACACAATAGCTTTTTGCACTGTGATAACAAGTACTGTAATTGTCTACTTTTTATGTAACTTCTACTGCGTCCTTTAAATAAAAGGACCCACAGACAGGCAGCTGATCTGTCTGTCTGTGGGTCCTTTTATATAAAACTATATATCATCTCCATTGTTACACGTGGCA